GCAGCGAGACGGTCGCCACTTTCGGTGGTTGCTGGCGGATCCAGCGGGGTGGCGTGATACGCGAACCAGAATGAGACCTCGCCGGCCCTGGGGGCTGCGATGTGCAAAACTGTCGCCACTTTCGTGGGCTGCTGGCGGGTCCAGCGCAGTGACATGATCCGCAGATCAGAAAAAGGCGTCGCCGTCACTGGGGGCTGCGAACAGCGAAACTGTTGTCACGTCCGGGGGCTCCTGGGAGGCCCAGCGGAGTGGTGTCATACGCAAATCAGAATGAGACGTCGCCGTCCCTGGGGGCTACGGACTGCCAAAGTGTCGCTACGTTCGTGGCCCCCTCGTCATCGCTCCTTTGAGATCGTGGTCGCCTTCTTGCCGAAGATATGAGTCGCACGAGTCATGGGGAACGTTTGTCTGCGGCCCCACGTTATTTGGCGAAGCGTTCAAGGATACTGCGAATCCTTCAAGGCGTAAGTTTGAAATGAGCGGTCCTCGGTATAGTCGCCTCATGTGTACAACGGGTTGGGTGCGTCCCCTGGTCAATTACTTCTGGAGGGTCTTATGGGACCCCCAGGGAAGCGATCCTCGGGCGTTTCTGGGACCTGTTGGGCCTTGATGGGGGCACCTTGAGCTCGAAGACAGCCCCAGAGCGCGTCAGGAAAGCCAGTATTCGCCTCTCCTCTCTGGAAGCTTCGGGATCGCCAGGAGTGCCTCAGAGCGTCTGGGGAAGGGGCTCTTGGGAGCTTTGTGGGGCTTAGTGAGGGCCGCTTGGGAGCCGCTTCGGGCATCTTGTGGCCTCCTGGGGACCTCTTGGGGCGGAGAGCTTGAAATGTCCGTTCGGGTACCCCCTCTGGGCTCCTTCTTGGGGCCGTCCTGGGGCCCTTCTGGGCCGTCTTGGAGGCCTCTTGGGCCGTCTTGGGGCTCTCTGGGGCCATCTTGGGGCCGTCTCGGGGGCCCATTGAGCCGTCTTGGGGCGATGGTGGGGGCCTCGTGGGCCGTCTTGGAGCGTCGGGCAGCCGAAATGGTGAGAACCCAGAGAAACTCCCAACCCCACGGAAAAATCTATGTATTTTGCCTCTTGGGGCCCTCTTGGGAAGCCTCTTGGAAGCCTCCTGGGGCGTCTTGGAAGCCGCTTGGGCTGCCTTGGGATCATCTTGGGCGTCTTGGACCGATGTTTGGGCGTCTCGGGGGTCTCTTGGACTTACTTGGGGTCGTTCTGGGGCCGTCTCGAAGCCGTCTATGTCCGTTTTGGGGCAGTCAGGAAGGCGCTGGGGGCCCTGGTCCTCCCATGCGCCGCCGTGGTCCTTGGGCGCGGCAAGGGGGCCTCGTTATGTATGCATGTGTGTGTAAGGATGTATGCATTCATGCATGCATGCATGCATGCATGCATGTATGCATGTTTGTGTGGATTCATACATGTATACAATGCACACCTATATGTGTGAATATATTACACGCTATATGATTATTTCTACTACTGCTACGACTACCCGAATTAACAGTATCAAAACAATTAATTCACAACGCTACTAAATGCCAAGATCAGTTCATACATATGACTTAAATAACCCACAACAGTTAGGAACTAATCAAATATTTTATGATAATTATCACATATCCACCAGTTATGCGCAATATTCCCTGCCATATATTTGTATTGTTTGCTTTTCTTGCTTTTCTTGTTTTTGAATTGGTTGCTTTTCTTGCTCGCGGAAGGCCTGATGAACGAAGGGAACCAGCCAGCCTTAGACCTCGTCCACCAATCCCTCCGCCTCCTCCTGAGCCGCGTCATCCGCCCGCCCCCTCCACATCGTCCTCCTCGTCCTCTCCCTCCTGGGAAACTGCAGAGGTACCGATACCGCTACCCCAGGGCCCTCTCCTGGGGTGCGTCCTCACCAGAATTTCGAGGCGAATCCAGCGGTGGCGACCGGAATCTCCCAGGAGGTCCCGATCGCCTAGGGAAAACGGGGGAAGGGTAAGGCTATAGGTACCTCTTCCTCCTCCGACTTCCACCGACCGCCATCAAGTTGGTTGCGGCTGTGGCAATCCCAAGGCCCCAACTCGGGGGCATTCCGACCAAGATCTCGTGGCGGCTCCAGTCACCAGCGACGAGTGGCCTCTCTGGGAGGTGCCAGGACAGGTCCAAGATGCCAGACTCCTCTTCCTCCTCCCTACTCCTCCTCCTCCTCCTCCTCCCTCCCTCCCTGCCTCCCTCCCTCCATCCCTCCCTCCCTCCCTCTGTCCCTCCTCTTCCTGGTCCTCCTCCTCCTCCTTCTCCTCCTCCTTCTCCTCCTCCTCCTCCTCCTCCTCGTCCTCCCTCCCTCCTCCTCTTCCTTCTTCTCCCCCTCCGCCTCCTCACTCCTCACCAAGAATGGCAGTGCTACATCGACCCCCTATGCTTGGATACATTCAAATGGTCACTGGAACTTTATTTCCACACTGCACGACGCATGCTGATCCCCAGCGGCGCACGCATCATGGTGGAAACATGATCGACCCACGAACCAGGAAAGGAATACAGAAGTGTAACGCATGGCAACGTTTTCAAAGACACCTGATTGGGTGACGGGCAAATTCAATGCTGAGTGTATCGATCTTGATGTACACTGCCGAAAGCTGTGCTGTGCTGCACCGTGCTGAATTGCGATGTGCCATGCCGCGATTGTGAACTATAGCGACGTGGATCGAGTCCTCCTTTGCATCCGAGTCCTGACCGAACTGATCTGGATCTTAAGCTCGAGCTGCCTGAACACATAGTAGCTGCCCCAGGGCTAATTGACAGGGGGGCATGCCAGGAGGACGCGCCGCGGAACGTCTCAAGGGACGCGCCAGGCGACGTGCCAGGGGACGTGTCATGGGGTCGCACCGCGGGACGTGCCAAGGGGACGCGCTACGGAACGTGCCAATGGATGTGCCACGGGATGTGCCAGGGGACGCGCCACGCGACGTGCCAGGGAGACTCGCCAAGGGACGCCCCACGGAACGTGCCAAGGAACGTGCCCGGTTGCAATGCTGAGTGTATCGATCTTGATGTACCGTGCCGAGGGCTGTGCTGTGCTGCACTGTGCTGAATTGCGATGTGCCATGCCGCGATTGTGCTCTATAGCGTTGTGGATCGAGTCCTCCTTTGCATCCGAGTCCTGACCGAACTGATCTGGATCTTAAGCTGGAGCTGCCTGAACACATAGTAGCTGCCCCAGGGCTAATTGTCAGGGGGGCATGCCAGGAGGACGCGCCGCGGAACGTCTCAAGGGACGCACCAGGCGACGTGCCAAGGGACGTGCCATGGGGTCGCACCGCGAGACGTGCCAAGGGGACACGCTACGGAACGTGCTGGGGACAAGCGTTTCGCTCGAGCCATCCTGTCAGAATCCGCATGCTGGACATCCGCCTGAGCGACCAGGACATGTGAAAACAAGCGTTTCGCTCAACACATCCTCAACACATGTTCATGCTAGACATCCGCCTGGGCGAACTGGATACGTGAAAACAAGTGGCTCGCTCGAGGCATCCTCAACACATCTTCATGTGAGACGTCCGCCTGGGTGACCTGGGCACGTGAAAACAAGCGTTTCGCTCGAGACGTGTTCAACAACTCCTCATTCTAGACATCCGCCTGGGCGACCTGTACACGTGAAAGCGAACGTCTCGCTCGAGACATCCTCAACACATCTTCATGCTAGACATCCGCCTGGGCGACCTGGACACGTGAAAACACGCGTATCTCTCAAGACATTCTCAACATATCCTCAGGCTAGGCATCCGCCTGGGCAATCTGGACACGTGCAAACAAGCATCTCGCTCGAGACTTCCTCAACAAAACACATCTTCATGCTAGACATCCGCCTGGGAGACGAGGACGCGTGAAACCAAGCGTCTCGCTCGAGACGTCCTCAAAAAATCCTGGCACTAGACCTCTGCCTGGGCAACCTGGACGCGTGAAACCAAACGTGTCGCTCGAGACATCTTCAAGACCTGGGCGAGTGAAAACACGCATTTCACTCGAGAGATCCTCTGCATCCTGGTCCCCAGGAGAGAACCATCTATAACACAAAACAAGCGTTTCGCTCGAGACATCCTCAACAAATTCTGAAAACAAGCGTTTCGCTCGAGACATCCTCAACACTCGAATTCACCGGCCCTACGCGACCTCGTTAATTATATAAAAATCAGTTCGCCGGCCCTACAGCCGTCAGAACCGGGGGTTAACAAACTAAAAGAGAACCCTGGGCACACGCCCTTTCCAGAAAATCAGCTTGCGACGGACCCTCCCTCGCAGAGACTCGACATCACACGATGAAGCTTTATCAACGCCACGCGGCCGAAATCTGGCCCTCCCGTCTCGGACGAGATTTGTTGGACTTCGACCGCGCAACTAGCTGAACCATATTCCAGAACTATCGCTCCCGCCATGAAGGAAGACACGGCTGAACACACGCGGCGTGTGCTGCAACATTGCCAAGAGCGTGCTTGCTCGATAGTCGAAGCCGCTGCTGGAAGGCGCATGCACGAGCGCCGCCATCGAGGAGCAGGAGAAGGAGGAAGAGGAGGAGGAGGAGGAAGAGGAGGAGGAGGAGGAGGAGGAGGAGGAGGAAGAGGAGGAGGAGGGAGGAGGAGGAGGAGAAGAGGAGGGGAGGAAAAGGAAGAGGAAGAGGAGGAGGAGGAGGTGGAGGAGGAGGAGGAGGAGGAGGAGGAGGAGGAGGAGGGAGGAGGAGGAGGAGGAGGGAGGAGGAGGGAGGAGGAGCCCCCCCCCCCCGAGGCCCGCTTCCCCGCCCCGCTCACGCTGGCGGAAGCGGACCCGGCGCTGCCTCCCGCAGATCTGCTGCCTGGGCTGGGCCCGGCACGGGGGACGGGGGAGGGACCCGCCTGCCCTCGCCCAGGGGGGAGGAGGAACGAGAAGGGAGAAGGGGGGGAGGAAAAGACAGAGTGGGGGGGAGAAGGAGGGAGGAGGAGGAAAGGGCAGAGTGGGGAGGAGAAGGAGGGAGGAGGAGGAGGGAGGAGGAGGATTAGGTTAGGCACGCCACAAAGGAGCAGCCACCCCAGGACAGGCACCGAAGCCCCTGCCTGACACAGCCGCCCCAGTGGTTCAATCTCGACAACATTCTGAGGAGGGAGGAGATCGGCGGCCGACGCCCGCACCCCGCCCCGCCACCTCAGCCGCGCGGCTCGATGGCCTTCCCCACGTTGGCGTCCAGGAGCGCGTCGAAAGCGTCGTGCCGCGCGACGGGCGGCCAGGCGTTCAACCACGGATCCCTGGGGGCCTTCCGAACAATGAGCTGGAGAGAGATGTCGACCTCGTTCTCGCGGCTCAGGGCGATGAACTCGTCGGACCTGCCGCGCGACTTCATCGAGGCCAAGCGCTCCAGGGTCCGCTGCACCTGCTGCTGGACCACCTCCGTGGGGGGGACGACCTCCTTCGCCTGTCCCTTGACCGCCGCACGGCCCACCGCGGCCGCTGCCGCGGGCTGCTGGCGCTCCCCAGCCGAGTCGACGGGCTGCAGGTCGCCTCGGCTGTCGACATGGGTCGCCATGCCGTCGGCGACGGGGCCCTCACGGGCCGCCACGGCGCTCCGAGCGCGCGGAGGAGCCTGCCGAGCCGCTGCCGCCGCCTGCGCGCCTGGGCCCCCGCCCAGCGTGCCAGCCGCCGCTGCGCCGCCGCCGCCGTTGTGCCGCTGCTCCTGCTTGCCACCGTCGGGGCCCGACCCGTCGGGCGGGGGCCCAGCACCGCGCCCCCCGCGCCCGCGAGGCCGCTGGCGCCTCGGGGAGGGCGCCGCGGCCGCGGGCGAGGGAGGCGGCACCGCCTTCGAGCCGAGCTCGACGATGGCTGCGCGAAGCAGCCCCTCAGCGGCGCGCAGCATGCGCACTCCCGCGCGGGAGTGGCACGCCGCGAGGCCGCTGGCAGCATGCGCCGCCAGGAGCGCCCCGCGCGCTGCCTCGGCAGCGGCGCGAGGCCCGGAGGGACCGGCCATCGCTGCCCTTCCTCAGCCTCCACCCGACGCCGAAACGTCAAGCGGGCAGGTCAGTGCGGGCGCGCGGCCTGCGTCGGGCGGGGCGGCGCGCGGCGGGGCCGCGGGGAGGCCTGCACCAGTAGCCGACTAGGAGGGAGGAGGAGGAGGAGAAAGAGGAGGAGGAGGAGGAGGAGGAGGAGGAGGAGGAGGAGGTAGAGGAGGAGGAGGGGAGGAGGAGGAGGAGGAGATGGAGGAGGAGGAGGAGGAGGAGGAGGAGGAGGAGGAGGAGGAGGAGGAGGAGGAGGAGGAGGAGGAGGAGGAGGTAGGGAGGAGGTAGAGAGGAGGTAGAGAGGAGGAGAAGGAGGAGGAGGAGGAGGAGCAGCGGTGCAGAACAGATCCTCATGGAATCCCAGCCAAGCTAACGACCTCGGCGCCCGAGAAAACTTGACTGTACTCTGAGAGGGTTCCTGCGAAGCCAGACGACTCTCGAGGCGAGCCCCTCTATGGCTCACAGCACGAACTGCTCTGGCCGACGAGCACCCCTATGGTCACGCAGCCCTCAGAAGGGGCCCGCACATCAGGCGCGACGACCTCTTCCCGTCCCCCACCCACGAGAGCTCCCCCCCGGCTCACCCTGCCAGGGTGTCGGCCGCCACGACCACGATTCGAAGGCATGATAATCACAAGAGTCTCAGGCTCACCAACTGCTACGAAACCTCCTGGAAGATCAGCTGGGGGCCTGCTCGCTGCCCGATCGATGTCCTCACGGGTGAGTCTGCCTGCTGCTGCTGACGATGCTACTCGAGCACTGCCTTGCATGATCTGACGCCTACGCTCAATCATTTCACTGCCCACAATACAGTGCGGGCGCGGCCGCAAGAAACCCTCGCAAGAAACCCTGCCCTGAAGACTCGCACGAGAGGTGCGACTGTGGGGGAATCTGGGGTATCCCAAACGCAGCAGCTCCTGGAACGGCCGCGGGTAGTCACCGAGCAGCGTGCGGAGCGGAGAAACACAGGGCACCCTGACGAAAAGCATATGGTTTCTTGATGCGCGCCCCCATTGTACTGCCTCGTACGACGTCAGGCGAGGAGGAGAAGTCACGAGGAAGAGGAGACAGACCCGAGGAGGTCAGAGCATAGGAGCGCTCGCGTGCGCGGACTACTGGGTCCCATCCGGCAGCCGAGCGACGCGCATTCCACGTCCCCGCTGTGCAGGAATAGATGCTGAAGCCACACGCCGACTTCCTCTCTCGCGGAGTCGAAATCATGTCACACTTTCTTCGCTCGCGGGAATCCTGCTCACATAGAGAGAAGCGGGTCGTATGATGTAGTGTGTCGTCCTTCCTCGTGCCTGGGCAGGATGTTGAGCATTGCCCGCATCACTTCTTCGCCGTCCGCGCCCAACAGATGTTTCCACCTATGCCGTCGGAGGTACACAACTGACTCAACTAGCTTTGACCTGGCAGATAATAGCAGGAGGACAGAGAGGCAGGAGGACGGTCAGGAAGGGGAGGAGAAGGAGGCCTCTTTCACTGTTCCCCCCAGCGAAGAGGAGGAGGAGGAGGAGGAGGAGGAGGAGGAGGAGGAGGAGGAGGAGGAGGAGCCCCCCGCCCACGCATTCCTCCATTGTTCCACCTCCCACCTCTTTTACGACGTTTCCACCCACCTTCGCTCCTCCCCGATGCATCCCCATCACCCCAAGCGACCCGTTCTCCTCCCCCAGTCGCTCACCAATCGTCTCGCCCCATCCATTCTCTCATTCCAGCCCCCCCCCCTTCCTACCCTCTCATGTCCCCCCCTTCCCTCCCGCCGTTCATCCATCACCCTCCCCTCCCCTGCACTCGACTCTCTATCTCCATCCTCTCCCTCCTTCTCTCTATCCCTATCTCTCTATCGCTCGCTCTCTCTCTCTCTCTCTATCTCTCTGTGTGCCTATTTGTCTGTCTCTCCCTTGCACACGCGCACGCACACACCCACGAACGCACGCACGCACGCACGCACGCGCACGCACACGCACACGCACACGCACACGCACACGCACACACACACACACAGAGACAAACACACACACACACAGACAAACACACACACACACCCTCTCTCAATATGTATATATATATATATATATGTATATATATAAGAGAGAGAGAGAGAGAGAGAGAGAGAGAGAGAGAGAGAGAGAGAGGAGGAGAGAGAGAGAGAGCGTGATCCACCGCCGCCTTACTGGAAAATTGCCGCCCTTTTCCTCCGGAACCCGGGGGTCCCCCCCCCCCCCCTCCGAAAATCCCCCCCCCTGCTGGAACCCCTCCCCCCCCCCCCTTCCCCCGGCAAAACCCCCCCTCCCCTAACCCCCCCCCCCCCCCCTCGAGCTCGAAAACCGGGGGGGGTCACTACCGGTTCGAACCCCCCCCCCCCTCGAAAACCGGAGGGGGGGGTCACTACCGGTTCGAACCACTGAGCTGTCCCACTGTTCCCACCACTGTCCCCACTGTCCCTACCACTGTCCCCACTGTACCTCTGTCCCATTGTCCCACCGCCGTCCTCGCCACCGCCTTCACCACTGTCCCCACCACCACTGTGCCCTCCACTGTCAGACTGTTTCCACCACATTCCCACTGTCCCCACACCACTGTCCCCACCACCACCGTCCCCACCACTGTCCCACTGTCCCCACTGTTCCCACCATTGTCCTCACCATTGTCCCCACCACTACCGTCCCCACCACTGTCCCACTGTCCCAACCACTGTCCCGCTGTCCCCTCACCACTGTCCCCACCACCACCGTCCCCACCACTGTCCGCATCCCCCCTCGGTTTTCGAGGGAGGGGGGAGGGGGGGGGGGGTTCGAACCGGTAGTGACCCCCCCTCGGTTTTCGAGCTCGAGGGGGGGGGGGGGCGGCGTCGAACTGGTAGTGACCCCCCCCCCCCCCTTTTCATGATGAACTGGGGGGGGGGGGGGTTCGAAACCGGTAGTGACCCCCCCCGGTTTTACGGAGGTGGGGGGGGGGGTTCGAACCGGTAGTGACCCCCCCCCCGGTTTTCCGATAGTAGCGGTAGAACACGCTCTTTCAAATATGTATATATATATATATATATATATAGATAGATAGATAGATAGATAGATAGATAGATAGATATGCGTGTATCTGTACACATATCTCTGTATTGTTATTGTGTCATATCTCTCTCAGCCTCTCCCTCTCGATGTACATATGTGTTACACCCTGTCTCTCTATGTATATGTCTGTCTGTCTGTCTGTCTCTCTCGCTATAACTCCCTTGCTCTTTGTTTGTGTTATCTGTCTCTCTCTCTCTCTCTCTTTCTCCCCCTGTCTACATGCATACAGAGGACCTTCATGCACACGCACAGATGCATTTGCATATGCACATGTATACATATCAGACACAGCTGTGTATACGTATTGACTTCCTGACCGTCGCCATACTAATTGGTTCGTCGGTTCGGTATACGATCGGGTTGGGACGGCTATGGCTCGCGGTCGTTTGTGAGCTTCGAGGTCACAGCTACCTGGGGCCCGTCGGGTAGCCTCTTGGGGCCTCTTGAGGGCCTTTTGGGGCCTCTTTGGCGCCTGCTGGCGCGACTCTTGCCTCCACCGCGCAAAACATCCGCCTCCTCCTCCTCCTCCTCCTCCTCCTCCTCCTCCTCCTCCTCCTCCTCCTCCTCACTACTGTCCCTCTTCCCCTGATGACGGCCTGGGAGTGTCCGACCCCCCCTCCCGTACTGTTTTTTCACACAGGTTTCCCCGGAATTGAATTTTCGCCTGCAGTTTTTTCAAAATGCTGCTCTCGCTGAGGCGCCGGCCTCATTTTCGGGCTTCGCTCGTTCTGAATCGTGCTCCCGCTGCAGCGCTGGCCTCACTTCCGTGCTTCCACTCGTTCCGAATCGTGCTCCCGATGCAGCGCTGGTCTCATTTCCGCGCTTCCGCTCGTTTCGACTCATGTTCCCGCTGCAACGCTGGCGTCATTTCCCGTGCCATGCCACGGCATGCAATGCAATGCCAGGTTGATGCTACGCTTTGCGGTGCTCTTCTACGCCATGCCATACCGTGCTCTACAATGCATCGCGTACCCTTTCGGGATCATTGCCCTGCTCGACATTCGACTGTGCGAGTAGAGAGGGGATCTGCGCCATGGTAAGGGATGGGAGGGAGGTGTAGGATGTCAGATATGACGCGAGCGCACCTAGCTTGTCCTCCTCCCCCTCCCCCTCCCCCTCCTCCTCCTCCAATTGCTCAATATGAAAATACTCTCCCTCTTCCCCTGATGGCGTCCGGGTGATGGCCGCGCATTCTCCGCGTACTGTTTTTTACACACAGGATGCCCGGGAAATCCCGGGAAACGACTCTCGCTGAGGCGCCGGCGTCATTTTCGGACCGAACGCCCCCCGCGTATTGTTTTTTTACACACAGGATTCCCGGGAAACGGGTTTTCGCCTGCGTTTTTTTTTAATAATGTTTCTCGCTGAGGCGCCGGCCTCATTTCTGCTCCCGAATCGTTCCGAATCGTGCTCCCGCTGCAGCGTGGGCCTCATTTTCGGATCGGTGTTTGGCCTCCGTCGTTCAGGATGGCGTTCTCGCCCCAGCGCGGGCCTCTTTCTCGCGCGCCCATCCGCCCGCCACCACTGCGCCGCACACCACCACCACCACCACCACCACCACCACCACCACCACCACCACCACCACCACCACCACCACCACCACCACCACCACCACCACCACCACCACCACCACCATCACCACCAGCACCAGCACCAGCACCAGCACAGCACCAGCACCGCACCAGCACAGCACCAGCACCGCGCCAGCACCACCACAACACGCACGACGACGCACGCACGCACGCACGCACGGCACACCACCCACTACGCACGCGCGCGCGGAGCCACAGGTCCGCTACGACACGCGTCCGCGGGTAGAGAAAATCAGCGCCATGGTAAGGGATGGGAGGGAGGGGTAGGACGTCAGATATGACGCGAGCGCACCTAGCTTGTCCCCCTCACCCTCCCCCATCCCCCCCCTCCTCCCCCTCGAACCGTCCTCGGGCTGACACCTCGGTCCGACGGCCTAGCGCCGACCGTCGAGCCCGTGCGCCCGGGCGGGCGCCGCCCACGCCTCCAGTAGTCCTCG